ATATAAAAAACTATCAATAGACATATATTTGTCTAATGACTTTTTCCCATTAGACTATGTAAGCTCACAACCCTGCCTAAAGACACTAGGTCCTAAAATTTGGACTTGGTTTTTAAAGACCAAGTTTAAAGACCAGGTCCTAAAGTCCTGGACCTAAGGACTTTACCAACCCTAAATGTAGCACATAATTTATTGTTGCGATAAATTATATACCAGTGTAAAATTCAGTTTGAAGAGTATGTGCGTACTCATATGATTACATGCGATCCGCACATGCGCACATCGAATTTTTTACACCGGCACACGCGCACGCTCTATAAGTGCATTTCACATGCACTTTCCCTATAATGATAAACTTACTTAATTTGATCGGTCTAATGCAGTAATGTATTATATTTAGATCAGAGTTTGAGCAACTGGACAATTGGAAATCTGTCCCTGTCCAGTAGAAAGCAATGGATTAAGAAAATAGACTCTGGGCAATACCTTAATTTTCGGCCAATAGTATCCCCTTGTTAAAGTGCCCGCCTAACATTAATTAAATAGTAAATTGCCAGTTCGAGAGGGTGCTAATCAATTTTTAAGATTTAGAATTTAAGAGGCCCAGGGTACTATTTACTGAAAATTACAAGTTACGGTACGATTCCCCGAAAGTTATTTCCTATAGGCCACTTACCCGACATCACACAGGGTGACAATCTGCTAAAAATGTATAGCTGCAACTAATCAAATACTAACCCTAACTCTAATTCTATTCTATGTAATGTCGGGTGTCCTGTCAAGAAAATAACTTTCGGGAATTGAGCGACAACCTTTAAATCATTGTAACAAAAAAAAAAAAAAAAGAAAAGAAAAGGTTTATAACAAAGCATTAAAATTTTCGAATTCCTTTGTGATAGATAATCATCAGGGGTTACAGTAATTTGAAAAGCATAATTTTATTAACAACCAGTGTTGTACATGGGACAATTTTGAACAATTTTGGACATTTTTTCAAATCAAAATTACTCAAAATTTTATTAAGATAATCTATTTTAATTTTTTCATAAATGAATCCAGCACCTAAAAAAATATATAATTATATATTTTTAAATTACTTTATTGATTATTTAAACTTGGGACATAGACTTGGACGATTTTGGACGATTTTGGACAATCTTGGACGTTGGGCATAGTATGGACGCGTCCCATGTACAACACTGATTACAACTATATCAGGACATACATTGGACAATTCGGAAATGTCCAGTCCAGTAAAAAAGCATTGGATATATAGATTGCACAACCCTGCGGCCAACGGTCAATGGAACATCGGCCCAAAATTTCTAATTTATACAATCATATTACTAGTTTTTACTATAAAAATTTTGGCCATTTCGGCCAAATAATTTTCTTGTCCTTTTGGCCAATGACCACGGCCAATGGCTGGCCAAGTGACAACACTGATTTAGATTATTCTCCATAAAAATACCCTGATCCGTATGTGTAAAGCGGAAACGAAGTTTCCGCTAATACCCAACGGCTCAGGATATTTTTATTACGAATATTCTATAAACGCACTTTTACCCAACAACATTTATTGAGGGTTGATTGCATTGAATTTAGAAATCTTCTCTTATTTCAAAATAACGCACATGTGTATTCGAAATATTATTTCACGCTTATGCGGTATTTACGAAATGATACTGAAATCTTCCGGATTAAAATATTAGGCGGCAACCTTTTTGTTCAATATTGACTAGAAACTAGGTAGGTATACAAATATGACTAAATTCGCTTCGAGTTCCACGACCTTTAATATCATAATAATAAATATATTAGTAAACGTGCATTAATTCTGTTTTTTTTTTTTTTTAAAAAAAAAAAAAAAAATCGTATCCCCATCAATGACAAATTGTACACTTCACACCTATAACGCTGCATAATGTTCTATAACATATCATGCGGCGCCTCAAACAGAAGAGCTTTTCATTTCAGTATTGCAAGTGTATTAAAGGTCTAAAATCAAATTCTGTTATAAAGTTGATTTTGAACTTTTACTTGCTTGGTTTTCACTTTGTGATTTATTTATGTGATGAAATAAAAACTTACGTACATCGAAACGTTGATGATAATGGTTAGAGTGATTGTTCAATCTCGGGTGAGAAAAAAAAAGAACCATCGTTATCAAGATTTTATTATTACCGCAAATATATATATATATATATATATAATTTTTTCGATTGAAATTAAATGTTTTATTTGCTGTTAAAATACATCATATTTAATACTCTAAGCAAAATTATTATTAGAACTGGAGAAGAATGAATTGCAGATGATTTCATAAAAAAAAATTTTTTTTATAACGGCTGATTGTGATGTATCACTACCAATCAGAGTTGCTGAATTGAGATCAAGATAAATCTTAGTTTTGTCACGTGCTGATTTGGCTAACCAATCAAATTTGCGAAATTTTTTGTGCAACTTTACATACATACATATAAAAAGATTTATAATGCGATTTCAATAAAAATTACGGCTTCTTTTTTAAGATCTATCATTAATCATGAAGATCGTAGCGCTAATAAGCGGTGGAAAAGATAGTTGTTTTAATATGATGCATTGCGTTGCTAATGGTCATCAGATTACTGCATTGGCAAACTTGAAGCCTCTTACGGATTCTCGAAAAGGTACTTTCAACGACCTTATACATATGTAGATGTAATTAACTCTTTTTTGATCATAGATGAACTTGATAGTTTTCTTTATCAAACGGTTGGTCATAATGCGATCTCATACTATGCCGAATGTATGGGCTTACCTTTATACAGGCGTGAAATTTTTGGTCAATCATTAATACAAGATGCAGATTACAAGTTGACTATCGGTGATGAAACTGAAGATTTGTTTGAATTGTTGAAAGAAGTTAAGGTTAGTGAATTTGAAGGTTTTTTTACATTTAAATAATGTTAGATATTGAAGATGTACTAATGTTATTTAATTGTTAGGAATCAAATCCAGATGTTCAAGGAGTTTCTGTTGGTGCAATATTATCAAATTATCAACGTGTCCGTGTTGAAAATGTGTAAATGTAATTTCATACTGCTAATTAGCTTCTTCATTGGCTAGGTTAGTATCATTAATTCGCATTCACAATTTTTATCACACAATAGATGTAGTCGATTAGGGCTTACACCTATTGCATATCTTTGGCGAAGAAATCAAAAGGAATTGCTATCTGAAATGATTGATGCTGGGATTAATGCTATATTGATTAAAGTTGCTGCTATTGGCGAGTGTTGATTTATAATTTATTTATTTATCTATCTATTTATTTTTATTTATTTATTTGTTTGTTTGTTTTTTGAGATTTTGAATGTTGACTTCATAACTTCATATAGGTCTCAAAACAACACATTTGGGTAAATCTATTAAAGAGCTATATCCTTATTTATGTAGTTTGGTATGACTGAATGGCAGTAAATGTTTTCGCAATCCATTTTAATCATCATTTAACATGAAAACCTTCATCTTATTAGAATGAAAAATATGATGTTCATATATGTGGTGAAGGAGGTGAATATGAAACATTTATTTTGGATTGTCCATTATTTATCAAGAGGCTACATGTGTAAGAATTTAAATCTTTATAAATATATCAGTGATTTCTGATATACATATTAAATCTTCATGATCATGCTGCGAATATTTTAATAGTGAAAATAGTGAAATAATCATGCATTCAGATAATGCATTTGCAGAAGTAGCTTATCTTCAATTAAAAAAGTTAGTTGTGATGGATAAACCAGTTAACATTGCTATGACGAACTTGATTAAAGTTCCCGCATGGAGTGATGGTTTTGAAGATATCTTGAGTAAAGCAGAGGTATTGCTTTTTAAATAGGGTATATTGTTACTTTTAGTTTTCAAATCAATCTAATTGTTGGGATGCTTAAGATATTTAAAGGCGAGAATGTATTAAAAAACGTCGTTCCGAAAATAGACATTGATTACATCCCAGAGATGAATAATGATTACATAGGTAATTGACTAACTACAATATATTCCCGAAAATGAGCACCCTTTATATAGTCCTGATGATATAAGTTAATTTTCATCATTTCTTCATTTCTGGTATCTAAGATTAATTCTATCCAGAAAGAAAGGTGCTTATTTCCTGGAGCATATAATATATTAACTCCTTTAATATTTTGCCATGAGCGCATCTTGACAAACGCGTAACAAAAGGTTTTTTTATCATGACATGAAATCTGTAGAACTTTATACTGCGCATGCAAATCCACCTTATTTCGCCATATCCGGAACTACTGCTTATAACCATAAAAGTTCTCAATCTCCGTTGAATACGATTGAAGAAGAAACGCGTGTATGTATGAAGAACCTCGAAGGTAGCCAGATTTGACACGTAAATTTATTATATAACTGTTTTTTATGAAAGTATGAGAATTAATGCTAGGTTCTACAAATTAGAAAAGTTGGCTAAATTAGGATTAAATTGGGCCGATGTCATAAATATGAACGTGTTTATCAAAGATATGAAAGAATTTGGGAGAATGAATATGATTTATAAATCTTTTTTCGATATAAACCCACCAACTAGGTAACATTTATTTCTTTAATTTCTTAACTATAAATTTCATGTATAAATAATAATATATTTGTATTAGAGCATGTGTTGAATGTAACCTTTCATCACCGGCGAATGTCCAGATCGATTTAGTTGCTATAAAATTTAGTGACTATTCAAACATTAAACCAGTGAACACTATGCATGTTCAAAGCATGTCATATTGGGCACCTGCAAATATTGGGCCTTATTCTCAAGCTAAAATAGTAAATTCTAAATTAAAGTTACAAAATTGAAAATTCAAGTTTTTTATATCGATTATAATTTTTCTTTCTTTTAGATAAACAATCATGCATATATAGCAGGACAAATTGGTTTAATTCCTGCATCGTTGAAGTTTCCAAATCCTCTAAGTCTACAATCCCAAACCATACTTTCATTAAAAAATTTAGAAAGAATTACGTCAGTTTTGGAATTGGATGTTTGGAAATTTTCGGTGGGGTGTATTTGTTTTGTTGATGAGGACACGTCTTTTGAAGTTGTGCAAAAGGCTTGGAAGCATATTTGTGAATGGAGAAAGGGTGAAGTGAGTTGGCATATGTATAAATGGTTGAATTTTAATCTTTAAATTAGTTAAATTAGAATTAGTCTCTTAACCTTTTTTAATATAGAATTGTTGCAAGATACCACCGAGTCTTTACATTGCCGTACCATCACTTCCTCGGGAAGCTAAAGTTGAATGGCAAGTTTTGTTACATGATGGAAAAATAAACCGCAAAAATTATAATGACGATTTGGAAGAAGGTTCAGGGATTTTAAATTCTGAACCTATTACATGGGAAGGTTATTATTATTATTATTATTATTTAAATCCTTTTTTATTGTTGATTTGTTCAAATTAAATGAACGTGCCAAATTTGATTCCTATTTGCCTACTATAATTAAAGATACTTTAGACACGAAAAATTCCTGCATAATAAAAACAGCTACATTGTTTATAAATCCCATACTAAATAGTATTATAACAATAAGGGTTGAAAAAAGTGAGTTCTTATTTTATTTCAGTTTATATTTTATTTAATTTTATTTATTCACACTAATACTTGTTTTTTTCTTTATTAATAGGCACTACTCTAACAACTTTATTAACCTCAATAGAACTCGGATTACTCAAAATACATGATCAATTTTGTAAATACAACTTTCTGGAGGGTAAAAATGATCCAACCAGCACAATATTTTGGAACAGTATATTCTCTATAAGATTTTTTTACTCAGAAAAAATTGAAGTTGAGGCTGCAACTTTGGAAAAAGGTATTTTTTTTTAGTATTATATTTTATATAAATCAAATATTTTTTCTTATTCGTTACTTTTATTTATCATTTGGTATAGGTGTAAAATCAACGATAAATTCTAAATTCCCATCAGATATGAAACCTGCCATGACATTTATTCCAGTTATAGCCATTAGTGAGGAATGTGCGGTGGGTATTTGCGTTCAATGTGGTTTCTGAACAGGTATATAAAAGGTTTCTTGTTAATAAAAAGATCAATAGGTCTAGATACTTTATCTATGAGAATTCTTAGTAATGAAATCTTTAACCAAAATCTATTTTTTTTATTTTTGTTTTTTGTACATTCTAGTTTTATAAAAAGTTTGAGAGTTTTATTGCGCCTTTTGCCATAGGCATAAAATTAGCATTAGGTTTAAATAGTAATGGATATTTGTTAAACTTCTTATAACTAGTGGTTCTAATTACATCTTTAAAATATTTATATAAGGAAAAACATATGTTACAATTACATAGTAATGATATACTATTTATGAATTTTTCGATAAGATTACTACAGAAATTTGTGCAGAATTGTCTTCGTTGGTCGTCTCCAAACCCGAAGTTTGCACAAGACTCCGGATCTGGGAATTGCAATAAGCTGTACCATTTTCCCAATGTATCTAATATTTCTTGCCTTGCCTTCAATAATTTAACATTACATATAGTTCAATATAGCTCAAATATTTGTTTGAGAAGAATATTTGTAGGTGACATTGGAAATTTTTCGACCCTTTCAATATATTTTCCTACGTGTTAGATGATACAATTATATTCATGAGAAAGCACGAATTGAAAATACGTATTGCTAACAACTTCTGAAAAATATTGAAATTAAATTTGTGGAATATTGTGTGCAGGCACATCAACAAAATTTTGAACGTGCAGCATTCCATAAGTTTTAAGTTTTAATCAACGCTTTTTGTAAATTGCATATTTTCAAAAATTGCAATACTCCACAATTCTACTAATTCTACTTAGCTGATTAAAATAATTATATTGAATTGATTTTAATTTTAATTATTGCTACAAGTATTTCTTTTACTTTTGTGAGTGTTTTCAAATGTTCATACCTATATGGTTGTGTATAAATACTCTTGGTTCATTTATGTACTAATGTTTTAACAAAAAAATGCTATATTTTACAGCAATGCTAACAAATAATCTTCGGAAGAAAGTTAAAAAAAATCCCATTGATGATCTTTCTTGAGTTTAAATATATGAGAGAATCACCATCTAATAATGAGGTTCTTTATACATGCCTTAAAATGCTTTCGATGATAGACTCTTAATATCATACGTATTTAATATCTTGATCCCATGTTTTTCCAGTTCTCTAATAGACACATTCTGTACATACCTATTACTGTCATAATTTCCATATTTTTTCAAAGTCTTGCGTTTAGAAGCAAAGTTGAGAACAGTAAGTGCACTCTCTTCAAAATCATGATAACAATCAATTGAAATAATTAAAGTTGATAATGGAGCTTTGCAATTATTAATAAAATCGGTAAATGCCTCATTAGAAATGTATAAACCATCTAATTTCAGGTAAACCACCGAAGTGGGAAGATGTTCTCTTAATAATTGTAATGATTTAGTTGTGTCTTCGGTGGATAATCGGAATATTCCGCCGAATGATATTTCTAGTTGTTGAATTTTTGTAGAGCCAATCCAAGTAATTAGGCTATAATTGTAAACCGATACCTCTATGTATAAAATGGTAAGGTTTGGACAATGGTCTAATGCAGCTTGTGTAGTTTCAGTGCAAACATTGTCCAGTACCATCTGTTGTAAAGTGACACCTGCCTTAGCAATAAGTGCTGCAGTAATAGAGTTTGACCATGAATTTCTCAGTAAAGATAAAAATTTTAGACGGAATGACGCTGTAGACAGCATAATACTATGTTCTATTGTCATATTTCGACATTTCTGTAGACAAAGAGACTCTAATGAATGGAAGCCAGCCAAAGCAACAATTGAAATCTCATTAAATTTAACTGATCGAAATGCTAACGAAGTTACATATTTTGCCTGTGATTCCATGACTGGAACCAAGAGTGGCCTAAATTGATAAAGATTTCCTTTCAGAATCATATTATTCTTAAAAGAGACTTCTTTGATACCTTTTTGTACTCTAATGATCTGAACAATTGCATTTAGAACGCCTGGGTCAGCCTTTTCATGTATGTAAACTTTCATATGCGTTATTTTTTTGCAAACTAATTCTAATTTCTGTAATAGTTGTATGGTTTTTTGATACTTTTCAGCACTATCACTCCAATCGATTCTGCATGTGAAACTTCGTACATGAGATAAAGCAGACATTGAATCGGAGAAATTTGGTACATTCGAAATACCGGATCGAACATACAAAGGCATAATAGATACCGATTGTATCTTCACGCATTGACGCATGAACATGCGCCAGAGTGAATAAGTAAGAGCCTCAGCTCTATGATCATATTCGACAAAAGGAAAAGTAAGTTTCTTTCCCTGAAACCATCCTTTTACACCTTTGTCTATAGCATTATCGGAAAGTTCTTGAAGATATTTTTCATAAGGAAATAATGTCGGTCGAATATCAAGAAAATCTATTCTGTAAGGGATCAAATATGCAAGTTCATCTTGGTTAAGACATGAAACATAAGTCTGTATTATAAGAGTACGACTCGTGCGATGCTTATTTGTAAAAGGTTTGGATGAAATTGTAAACGGCCGACACCATAAAATTGGGACCGTTATTCGACACCAAAGACGATTTACTAAGAGACATCGGTACAAAGTACGCATATCATCATGAAGTTGTGGCAAGATATCATAAATTATATCATTAGGTAATGCCATTTTCCCTTTTTTCCCAGATAAATAAAAAAAGAAAAAAAAAACTATTAAGATTTTTTTATTCGGTATCAATTTTGTGTTATACACAAGCTGCATGTCATATGATTACAAATATTAGTGTTATCATGCGATCATTATCGTTATTCACCAATACAACATATAAATGCGCTATATAAATTTTTAGCTTTATAAATTTTGTTCTCGATAAATGCACATTCTAAAAGTGTGCCTTTTGCTTCAATTTACTATTACCTCAAAAAGGAATGCAATGAGAGAATTATACGGTAAATAAAATTCATGAATATATACTGTATGTAAATTGCACTATATATTTTGAATTTGATTTCGACCAGTTGAGTTAGAGTATGTAGCACGGATAAAAACTTTGCATGCCACAAATCCACGTGATAAATATATTCGATTTGGGTTGGTCAGTTATTACTAAATATAAAATTGTAGAGCTAACACAAAAACTAATCTTCGGAACTATCTTCTATGATATATAGTTTTCAAAGGAATTTTATAAACCCGACCCAATGAATTTTACGACACACGACTAGTTACGGCTACGGTTACACCGTTTGCACGGTCATGTGCTATTTATAATACTACAAAAGCATTAACGTTAATTTAACGTACGTACGTATATTATCTATAGCTAAAAGTGTATTTGAAATATATATACATTAGGTATATATATATTATATATATGCAAAGGTAGCACTAAATAATGTTTTTTAAAGAGATAAATTTGAAAAAAATAGAGTTTATTATAATGTGTCGTAATGGGTTATTGCACTATGTTGCTACTCGAATAACCGTGGGTTCGAGACCGGGCTCGATGAGTTGTCTGTCTATTAGTTTCTGGGCGCGCGACCATCATGTGAGGAGGTTACCCTAGGTACTTTGGGGTATGGTGACCGTCACTTGACGAGTTATCTCTCTATTTGTTTCTGGGCGCGCGACCATCATGTGAGGAGGTTACCCTAGGGGCTGTGGGCTATGGTAACCGTCAGCTGGATCATTAAATTTTTTTTTTCTTTTAAAGTTTATAAAAATTATTGTCATGGTTGAAGCTTGAATTTTTTTAAATATTTTAAGAATTATATGACATAATGTAAAATACCTGTTAGTACGTTTTTGAGATATAGCACCCGGTGAATTTTCTAGTTAAAATAATACATATTTTAATATATTTTAATGGAAAATTTTAACTCTCCCGAAGGTGAAATTCACCGAGGATGCTATATCTCAAAAACATACTAACTAAACAGGATCGGGTACTCTAAGTAAAAATGTTTAGGACCCTCAAAAACCTTATGAGAACTGAAATCTAATCTATATCATGTTATATAAAACCCCTTATTATCCTAAAACTGCGCCCAACCTTAAAAATTCTTGGGCCAGTAAATTTCATCGTCGGTTAATCATAACCAAATTCTATTTTAATATAATTTTTGGTGTGCATTTTTTAACTTTTTAATAGTTAGGTTAGGTTTAAAATTAATTTTTATAATAAAAGTACAGGGGGGTACCATATTATTGTGGACACTTTTGAAACTGCAGTTTCTCGAAATCGGGTAAGTAAGTAGTACGGCAAATGCCGTCGATTCCATTGAATCGTAACTTTAATTAGCTTCGTAACTTCAATTAGTTGCTAATTAACCCATAAAATTATATGTAATAACTGCATAACAAAAAAAACTTCATGCAACTGCTACGTAATAATAATTAAATATATATGTATATAACATTTACTTCAAAATTTCTTTTAGTGAAGCTTTTTCTTATAATGAATACTCTCAAAAATTTTACAAATAAAAGTAAATTGTTTCGTAACAATAATACAGCACACGATCATATATAAAGTTACGGCGCATAAAAAAGCTACGATGATATGCTACAATAAATGCAGTACAAATATTACGATATTTCGTAATTTAAAGTCAAATGCGACGATAAGTTGTAATTTAATTATGTCACGGCTTAAAGATTGATCCCGAAACCCTAACCTTCTTAAACTCTTTAGATTTAGGATAGTATTAGCTAATTTTGAATATGAGTGCCGCCAAAGGAAACCCTATCATTGTACCGGACACAATTTATTTAATTTATTAGGGAGCAAGTCTGGTACAAATATAATTGAAAGCCTCGCTTCTTTACCTACAGAATAATTTAATCAGGTATAATTATATTCACTGATAAGTTCCATTATGGCAATATTTTGTTAAAAATGTTAAATTTATATGTTTAATGAAATTCTACTTCCATTATTCCAAGTCAAAGAACTTATATACGCTTTAATCTTTAACTCTGTAAACTTACTTGTTAGTTCTGAAATTGTATATTAGTTTACTGATAATATTTTTATATGCATTTTGACTATAAATTAAATCAAGATTCCTGTGAAATCCTATAAATAGTAACTTAAACAAAAAAATTTAATTATATAGTAAAAATAATTTATTAAATTTTTATTACCAATTATTCATTTCAATAATTTTGTTTTGCAATTCCAATTTTAAATTTCTCTTTCATTTATATTTAGTTGATTACTATCTTCTTCTAAATTATTCTTATCTGCAGTGTTATTCTCATCATCTTCTTTTAAATCATCAATACTAATATTTTTTTAAATTTAAGCATTCTAAAAATGTATTAACATTGCATTATATACTATTTTTATCTCTTAAGCTGTAGAGTTCATGTAACAATTTTAGCTTAAAAATAGCATAAATTTAGTTATGATTTATTTTTTGGAGTTATCTAAATATCGCACAGTGCAATACTCTTATTTATCATCCAACCAATCAAATTTCAGGACTAGGTGTAACGTAAAAAATGCAAAAAAACTGTAATTTTTTAAAAAGCACCAATATATCAAAATTTTGCATAGGAAACAGCTCTCCATA